CTCACCCCGCCGCTTCCACCAGCAAGTTGTCGTTGTTCGTTGAAACCCCAGTGACCGCTTCGAGCGTCTCTTGCCTTGCGCCACCAAAGCACCCACCACCATCTGACCAACCACAATGTTTCTTCTTTCGGTCACCTCGAATCGTCTAATCGGAAGGCCTGAGCATTTGGCAGGCGTCCGATTGACGATCGATCTGACTGAACAGAATATCGATGTCGGCTCATCTCTTTGGTCAGTGCTTCTCGTTGATGACGATACTCTACAAACAATCACCAGGTGAAAGCTTAATCGAACGTCGATATGATGCTCTTACGCTAATGATACAGTATGCATGAATTTTTTCAGTTTTGCTTGACCACCGTAGTAAAATAGTTGCCTTCTTCCTAAACATCGGTTTCTAATTTTTGGCAAAGGTCAACATAACGTTCCATATTGACACTGTAAGCAATCGTGGCAGATTGTAGACAGCTAATGCAAATTAAACGCTGCAGGTTAAATACGCACTGGAGACAGTAGACAAGGTTCGATTAAAAGTTCAGTGCATCGACTTGCATGTTTAATATACCAGGGTCGAGATTTCTAGATTTTTTCCAGGAAGTGTGTTTAGCTTGGGGATTCTCATGAACAAACGATGACACTCCATTTTATTGGCAGAACTAACAACTAGATTAACGCCGCCTTTATCTGGTTATTGATTTTGATATGGCGAGGTTTGCATAACCAGAATTATTGCATCATGTTTTCATTCTAGTAATCCAGAAGCATATATGCTGCCCTAGAATCTATGATATTTGGCACACTGTTAAACAGCTTCGTTTCGTGACTTGGAGCAGCAGGCTAGATTATGACAGCAATGGAAATGTTGAAACCTCCACGCATTGTAGCACAATGTTAATAGACATTATGAAGGATATTCTTGTTCTGACGTAATCATGTATGTAGCGTTTACCCAGCGTTGCTCGGATTTTCCGTTTTGGCTAATATCGACAACCAATAGCTGTTATCCGTTGTTAAGCACTTAATAGACAGATCGAAATTGTATGATCAATTGTACATTAGGAAATGATAAGTCGGTATTACTCTGAGGCTACTTTGCTGGTTGCCAGTTTCAGCATCCGTTTCCTATTCCAAATTGTCTTAAGGATGCCTTCCATCCGTTTATTTACTAAATATGGGTGCTTAATTACCTATGTAACCGTCGTTTCTAACGCCTATAACACTTCACTTGCGGCCAAGTAGTGAAAGAGGGTACACTTCGCCAATCCAAATCCAAGACAAGTAATTTGATCTCAGTGTTTAGTTGTTGCTTCCCCCCCCCACCCCACCAAAACATA